TTGGGAGACAAACGTTTGAAGATGCGTGCCAACACACCCATTCTCGGAACTTCAACGCCACTAATCAACCTGACTGCGGTGCTTTGCAAATGTTGGATTGCACACGTCGAATCAACGGATCTGTTGCCCCCTGAGATTCCTGAATCGCCCCCTGGTGCGGCCAATATTGGAACCCGCGGAACTCAAATAATGTGTCTAAACGAATGTGCGCGGCACTGAAGCGAGAACCACGTTGTGAAAAGGAGCCGCCCTCAATCCGTGAAACTCTTGCAACTGTTTAAAACGAATGTGCGCGGCGCTAAAGCGAAAACCACATGTTGAAAACAAGCGGCCTTCAATCCGCGAAACGCTTGCGTTTGTTTGATGAATGTGCGCGGCGCTAAATCGAAGACAACATTTTGAAAACGGCACGCCCTCCATCCGTGACGCTCTTCCAAATGATAAACACGAGTGTATGCGGCGATCACGAATGTACGCGGCGCTAAGGCGAGATCCAAATTTTGAAAACTATCCGCCTTCCATTTGTAAAACTGCTGCACATGTTTAAACTTCGGGGTCACACATGGTGAAGACGTCTCAGGCGAAACGCACGGCCCGCCCTTCCGACTGGTCCTGGGGTGCGACAGGGGGGAGTTATCCAGAAGGAAGATGCATGGAGGGCTCAAAATGCCTACCCTCGCCTCTTCGCCCCCCCCTTCGAGGATCCCCTCATCCACTCGCTGCCTTCCCGGACCCTTCTCCCCTCCTCGGCGCGGACGGGGGCGCGACAGGCAACGGCAGCGGCCAGGGCACCACACAGAAGGGGATACTTGTTGTGGCCGCGGGGAGAAACAGACGCTGTCGGGCCCCGCGCGGGAGCCGAGCGGCCCGCGAGCCAGCCAGGTCACGACCGGCGCGTCTTCTTGGCTCTGGGTGGTGTGTAGCCCTTTCGTACTCCGGTCTCGGCCGCCATGGCAGCCTCCTCCTCTGGGGCCATCCAGTGCGCGGGCTGATTGACCATGTAGGCTTTGTAGAAATCTTTCGGTGGCACCTGCGAACCCTGAGATCCAACGGTGCCCCCTAAAATTGCAGCATCGCAACACATCGCGACCGGAGCCCCAAACCCCATTTTTCTGCGTCAGTTTTCGAGCTGGATCGATCTGTGAGGGTCCGGGGGCCCGAAATTGAGCGAGAACGCCATATGCAAAATAATTGCACCGCCAGGATCTCATGGAAGGGGGACAGGAAGACGCAGCACTGCATGTCAGGGAAGGGGGACAGGGAAGGAGACCAGGATCTCAGGGAAGGGGGATCCCAGGAGCAGTGCGTATCGTGCCCTTCCTTGGGCACCCCGTCGATCGCCCAGCTGCTCTGCGCGCGCGCACTGGCCAGGGAGGCATGAGGCCCCCCCGATTAGGCACTCCCCACTCCTCCTACTCCTACTCCTCCTCCTCCTCCTCCTCCTCCTCCTCCTCCTCCTCCTCCTCCTCCTCCTCCTCCTCCTCCTCCTGTGAAGCTCTGGCGCCAGCGCCAAAAACTGAAGGTCACACACTTTCAAGTCGGCGGCGCGGAGGGACCTCAGGCGCGGTCGGCAGGTGGAGGTGCCAATTGCGAACATGGAACAGCCCAGCCATGGCCATGCAGAAGGTGGTGTGGCAGAAAACGAGAGGCGCTGTAAAGCCAACGTGCGGCGGCCACTGAATGTCACACACACACACACACCCTCCATCGAGGTGGTCCAGGCAGCTTTCAAACCTGCTTCCAGAGAGCCGTTGAAAACACACTCCAGCCTCTGTCGGGGAAACGTCAACTGACCACCTCACCGATCGTGGCCAGACCCATCCTGGGCTTGGCAAGTGAGGCTGGACCCAGTGGCGGCCTGGCCAGGATCGGTGAGATGATCAGCTGGACCCCCCCGACTCCTGGGCGGACCCAGCTGATCATCAGGCCCTCGCGGCCGACGCACGGCGCATCTGGGGAAGCTCGGGGTCCTTCCACGGGGTCCTCGGACACGTCGCCGAGAGCCCCAACCTTGGGGTCTCGAGCGCTTCCGGGTCTCTCGAGCTCCCCGTCAGGCCGCACCACTTGTGCTGCCCACCAGTCCGTGCGGGCGCACCGGACACTTCCACTGGAAACGGCGCCATCGGAATCTTCCCACGGCACCCTGCCCAGACCCCCGACGTCGTTTTCACAGCGTCGACCCCGAGAGGTCTGGACCCATTCCCGGGGACCAGTTGTTCATCCTGAGTCGTTCTTGGACGGCCCCGAGGCCCAGTAAGGGCCCCCGGAGGCAGAAAATAGCGAAAAACCTCCCGCTGCAGTTTTTTTCACAACGCGAGGGGGTCTGGGTGGCAGGACGATGGCCGTGGCCAGGTCTGGCACCATCGGCGAGTGTGCAGTGCATTGCGACCGGATCAGGAGGATGCGCGCTTGAGGATGCAGGGCCCTTGGACGCAAAAGCTGGAACCGAAATTGTAAGCCCGTGGCCCACGGTCCTCCTCCACCTCCTCCTCCTCCTCCTCCTCCTCCTCCTCCTCGTCTTCCTCCTCCTCCTCCACCTCCTCCTCCTCCTCCTCCTCCTTCTCCTTCTCCTCCTCCTCCTCCTCCTCCTCCTCCTCCTCCTCTTCTCCTCCTCCTCTCTCCTCCTCCCCCCTCCTCCTACAACCTCCCCGCCTCCTCCTGCTCCTCACTCCTGCTCACCACCTCCTGCTCATCCACCTGCTCCTGGGTCATCTGCTTCCTCCAACTCTGCTCCTGCTCCTGTCATGCTCCTCCTCCTGCTCTTCCTCCTGCTCTCCTCTCATCCCCTCCTCCTTCTACTCCTGCTCCTCCTCCCGCCTCCTTTCCTCCTCCTCCTCCTCCTTCCTCCTCCATCTCCCACTCCACCCCCTCCTCCTTCCTCCTCTTACATCCTCCTCTCTTCTTCCGCTACTCCTCATCCTTCCTATTCTCCTGCCACGCCTCTTCCTCCTCCTCCTCCTCCTCCTCCTCTTCCTCCACCTCTTCCTCCTCCTCCTCCTCCTCCCTCCATGGCCCATGGCTACGGGTCAGGATGTACCGAGAGGCAAGGGCATCCTCTGTTCCCCGAGAGGAAGAAGCCACTGCATAACAAAGCTTCGGGTCTCTCGGATCGGCGCGGAGCGCGGAGCGTACCAGGGGCGGGGCTGGAGGCGCAACCGTCGGGGGCCCAGCGCCCAGCCAAGAAATCCGCCTGGAGCTCCGAAAGTTTATGTCTATGCCGTTCGTCTGTCTCGCTTCCTCTCAGGGAATACTCTGCCTCCCCCTCTGATTTTCTGACATCCCACTGAGGTAGCAACGACAGGTGGGGACGAAATCAAGGGGGGAACATCGAGCTGACATCCGCGACACATCGCCGATAGATCGGCGATAGGCCCCCGATCGCGAATCCGAGCGTTCCTCGGCGGGGCGCGGGGCGGGCTATCGGGCTCCTCCCGGCGATGCAGAGACGATTGGTGGTCGAGGTAGTCCCCGCGTGAGCCTATCCTCCCCCTAACGTGGCCCCCTGGTTTTCGGGTCATCACTCCGCTCTCTGGGAGCCGTTCGGGGCGATCCGGGCACCCCCAGAAGGCCCTCGGTGAGGCGCAGCTGTTGGAGAGCATCTCGAGGCTCGAAAACCAGCCAGAGCCAACGAAACTGTCCGAAAACCTCGAACCTCAAACCCAAAACATGCCCCCCTGAGCCTAGCGCCTCGTACCGTTGCCCCAGATCCACGCGGCCGTCGCCGCGGCGCGGCGTGCGCTGGCGACGTGCACTGACGGAGGTGGCTGCTGGGCTGTGCTGCGAGGGACCAGGCGTCTCAGGAGGCCCCCTGCTCCTCCTGCTCCTCCTGCTCCTCCTCCTCCTCCTCCTCCTCCTCCTCCTCCTCCTCCATCTCCATCTCCTCCTCCTCCCTTCCTCCTCCCTCTGCTCCTCTCCTGGGACTACTCCTCCACGGGACTCCTCGCTCTCCTCTACTCCTCCTCTCCTAACATTCCGCTCCCGCCGCCGCCTCCAACTTATCCTCCTCCCCCCTCCTCCTCCGTCTCCTCCCCCTCCTCCTCCGCCAGCTTCTACTTGTTCTCCTCCTCCTCCTCCTCCTCCTCCTCCTCCTCCTCGACCTCCTCCTGCTGCTGTTCGCGATGGCAGGCCGCGGGGCTCGCCACCCCATCTGGACCCTGCTCCCTGCGCGTTGGCGCGCCCAGCTGTGCTGCGGGGTTGACGTCCAGCCATTTGGAAGGCCCCGTGGGAGGCTCACCCGAGCAGCGCCCATCGTGCGGAGACCTTGGCGTGATCTCTGACCAGGGACCCTCATCGCTTCTCGAAATCTTTGACACGCTGTCGTGGACGCCGAAGGACATACTAGTACTATATGTATCCTCCTTGCAGGCGTGCGTTCGACCAGATCACACGGCACAACCATCTTATAGTACATCGTTACCCCGGCGGTATGGCCAGATATTGCCTGCCACCGAGCATATACCATAAGATGTTTCAGCGCGCGCCGCCCCTGTGGGGGCGACGCACATATGATATAGTATTACTATGTTTGGGTGAAGCCGATCGTCGGCTCCTGGAGGTTTTGAAGCTGTGGGATGCTTCTCAGCGATCGCGCCTCGTCGGAGGCGTTCTGGGGGGGGGGGCCGGATCGTCCCGAACGGTCGCTGGAGGCCCGAACGATGACCCGAGAACCACCGGGTCCCATGGTCTCCTCCGTCCCGGCCCCGCTGGCGCCTCGACTGCCCTGGGCCTGCCCGCCCCCCCCTGACCTGCTTCTTGCCCGGGATCTGCAGGGAACGCACCAGCAGCGCGTGGTCCGGGTCGCAGGCCGGGCGCACCGCGATGGCGGCCTCGCGGCCGTCCCTCGCGGGCACCCAAACGAGCCGGTTGCCGGGCCGCTCCTCGTCCGCGGGGCCCGCGGGGAGCTCGGCGGCTGGCAAGACCTTCGAGGGACACTTGCGGCTGCTGGTGCCATCTTGCCTTCAGCCTGTGATTTTGCCGTCTCGGTTGGGAGCAGAAGGCAGCCACTGGGAGGAAGCTTCTGCCCCCCCGCGCTGGTCCCTGCAGACTGTCCTCCGCTCAAGCTGCTCCTGGAATGTTTGGCCAGCGAGGACCTCGGCGTCGGACACGAGCACGCGCGTCCCCTGCAGCGGCGCGCTCGAGCCGCTGAGCGCGATGGGCAGGGTATTGCCGGGCCACCCCGTGAAAGCGCGCACCTGAGAGAGCATCACCAAATTGAAGGGGCCCTGGGACACAGAAATAAATAGACACAAATAACAGGATTCCCCATATTTTCGTATATGTTCTGGGTTTTTGTCTTCCCCCCCACTTCCATATTTCCGCATAGTTTCTGGGAGTCGACGATTAATCGTTTCTGTGTTTTTTTCCTCCTGACAAATCTACTTCGACAGCAAACTGGGCCGGGACCAGCCGTGCCCCACTGTTGGCGCACACCAGCCCAGCTCGAGCCATGCCGAGGGAGCGCATCTCCCCTCTCCGCGTCGGGCCCAGCCAAGCAGAGCTGGTCTGGTGCTGGTTTCAGCAGGGCTTCACCAGAACGATGACAACACATCCCAGCAAGAATACGGTGCAAGACCACCGTGTCCCTGCCCCGGCTGGGATGCTCCAGGAGACTCAACTGGAGCTTCCTGGGCACCGGGCACTCGGGTACCTGGGCACCGAGGTGCAGCTGCAGACGATGCAAGCAGTGGCGCACCTCGATATCAGAAATCCAAGGACACATGTCTTGTCGTTCTCAACCTTCACGGGGTGCGCCCCAGGATGCCAGCGGTCCCAGGGGCCATCGGGGAGCTCGAAAATCATCTGGGGCACCTGCCGGCAGGCCGGCTTCACATCTCGTGCACTCGCCGTCGGCCCTGAAGCTCCCCGCCGGTGTTCATCGACGTTCTACGTTGTTCCGGCACCTTGTTCAGCATCTGCGCGGCGGTCTCGTTGTGGGGCCAAAGATATCCTTCCTCCTTCTGGATCATCGCCGCATGCGTCACTAAGCCCTCGTCCTGGATTTGAGCAGAGTCGATGTCCACCTCTCCCCGCAGCACTCGAGGCAACGCGTCCTTGGACACGCCCGCGATGAGGACAGTATCGATGGGGACAGCGTCCAATGAACAGACGTGGCCCGAAGTCGGCAACGACTGCTGTGTGTCAGACCAAGGTCGCCATCGGACGGGCGACACTCGCTGGGAAGCCGACAGCGAATCCAAACCACGATGAACTACACACGCGGCCAGCCATCACCCCCCTCCATACCGTCCCCACACTGGGCGTCTCAAGTCCTGCATCAGGAGCTCAGAGCCCCGCGTGAAGAGCGTGTCCAGGAGCTCACCTGAGGTCTCCGTCCCTGCCAGGCGCATGGGCTCCTGCACCACCAGGGGCCCCGCGTCCATCTTGGTGACGGTATACAAGATCCGCCACCGCACCTCCGGCACGTAGCGGAATGTCCTCAGGTCGGAGTCTCCTCGTGTCCCTTAGAGCCCTCGGTACCGAACCCGCCAGCGTGACTCTGGGCACGGAGTGGGCGTGTCCTCAGGAGGAGGGAGAAGGGGAGGGAGGAGGGAGGAGGGAGGAGGAGGAGGAGGGAGGAGGAGGAGGAGAGGAGGAGGAGGAGTAGGAGGAGGAGGAGGAGGAGGAGGATGAGGAGGAGAGGGATGAGGAGGAGGAGGAGGAGGAGGAGGAGGAGGAGGAGGAGGAGGAGGAGAAGGGAGGAGGAGGAGAAGGGAGAAGGGAGGAGGAGGAGGAGGAGGAGGAGGAGGAGGAGGAGGAGGAGGAGGAGGAGGAGGAGAAGGGAGGAGGAGGAGGAGGGAGGAGGGAGGAGGAGGAGGGAGGTCCTCTCCCTCATCCCTCGAGTCGCAGACCTCAACCCTGGGGAGCCTTCGGAGGGCCCGGAGCCCACATTGCCACATCTCCTGGGGCTTCGCGCGTGCCCCCATGGGGTTCCCGGCGGCTCGTCGCGTGATCTGTTCGACCCCAAGAGCGCCCCAAGACTGGCGACGAGGGCTCCACGGGGCCCCCCTACAGTCGGGGCGTTGACCTAAGGAACCCTAAATGAGGAACGAGGCCCCTTTTTTCCATAACTTAACCTTCGATTTCCTGTCGAAAACATAAGGAAAGCCTGAGGCAAGCTGTGAAACACTTAAGGAACGCGGAGCCCCTCCCCAACGAAAAGGGTTCCTTCTTCAAGACCCCTACTGTAGGCGGTGCGAGAGGGCTCCGAGGCGCCCAAAGGTCGCACCGAGGCGCCCAAGGTGGCCCCCTATAAGGCGGCACAGGAGGCCTCCGAGACGCCCCCCAAGTGAGAGCTTTGTTCCTCAAGCCTCCTATGTTGGGTTCTCGGTTTGCATCGGGCACTGTGCGCTCCAAGTCTCCTCCTCCCCCTCCTGCCTCCTGCCCTCCCTCCCCCTCGCGGCTCCCTGGGGGGCTGAGAGGTGCGTAACCGTCGCCGCTGTCGTGGGCTCCTGGGAGGACCCGCGGAGTGGGGGGACACGGGGATCCAGTTGCAGACCTCGCGGCTTCCTGGGGGACTGCGAAGTGCGTAACCGTCGCCACTTTCGTGGGCTCCTGGGAGGACCCGCGGAGTGGGGGGACACGGGGATCCAGTTGCAGACCTCGCGGCTCCCTGGGGGACTGCGAAGTGCGTAACCGTCGCCACTTTCGTGGGCTCCTGGGAGCATCCGCGGAGTAGGGGGACACGGGGATCCAGTTGCAGACCTCGCGGCTTCCTGGGGGACTGCGAAGTGCGTAACCGTCGCCACTTTCGTGGGCTCCTGGGAGCTCCCGCGGAGTGGGGGGACACGGGGATCCAGTTGAGACCTCGCGGCTCCCTGGGGTGCTGCGATGTGCGCAACCGTCGTCACTTTCGTGGGCTCCTGGGAGGACCCGCGGAGTGAGGGTCCCGCGGAGTGGGGGGGCACGGGGATGCAATTGCAGACCTCGCGGCTCCCTGGGGGGCTGCGAAATGCGCAACCGTCGCCACTTTCGTGGGCTCCTGGATGTTCCTGCACGCTGGAGGTGTTTCAACAATTTCGTTTGTAATGAGCGGTCCGATGTGTAGTCGCCACATGTTTCTTAAGGGTTGGATGCGTCTCTATGTAATGTTCCCTCCCGGATAACGGTCGTTACCCGGGGGGGGTCGGGCGGGAAGCTAACGGTAACGGCGGCCGCGGCGTGCACCCGCCAGGGTGCGTCCGCACCACCGGCGCATCAATCGCCTGTGTGCACCGCAGTCCCTGTGCACACGGCAATGCCCAACGCCTGCGTGCAACACAGCGCCGCCCGTGTACACCACAATACCTCCGTACACCGCAACAGCGGCGTGCACCGCAGCACCACGTCGCTTATGCACACCGCAGTGCGTGTGTTGACTGCAGCGACCGTAATTGTGCGCAACAGGGCCTGTGTACACCACATTGTCTGCGTGCACCAGAGCGCGTCTGTACACCACAGCGCCTGTGTAGACCACAGCTAACATGTGTACCGCATCGCCTGTGCACGCCACCTTGCCTTCGTGCGCCACAAGGCCTGTGTACACCAGAACGCCAAACGTGCCAGCGAGCACATTAGTAGCTTGCGAGGCTCGCTACAGACCGCGGAGGCCCTCAGCACTCGTCATTCATCTCCGCCTCCTCCTCCACCTCCTCCTCTTCCTCTTGGACCTCCTCCTCCCTCTCCTGGCTCTGTCGCCGCAGCCGAACGGCCGACTCCTCCTTCCTCTCCTCCTCCTCCTGCTCCTGGTCCTCCTCCTCCTCGCCTCCTTGCCGGACTCGCCGCAGCTTTGAGTCCACCTGTCCTGTGCGCACCGCAATAGCCTGCAAGCGCCACAACACGCACGGGGGGCACGGAAACGTGCCCTTCAGCACCACGCCATGCCTGTGAGCTCGGCGCCGCAACAGGTGGGGAGCCTGCGCGCGCCACAACGCGTGTGCGAGCAGCAAACCCAGACCCCCGACGTCATGATTTTTTCATGACGCGACCCCCAGAGGTCCAGACCCATTCCCAGGGACCGGTTTTTCATCCCGAGCCGTTTTTTGACGGTCCCGAGGCCCGGTAAGGGCCCTCAGAGGCCGAAAATGGCGAAAAACCTCCCTTCAAGATTTTTTTCATTACTCGAGGGGGCGTGGAAGCATGCCGTTCAGCACCCCGCCATGCCTGAGCACAGCAGCGCCCTACCTGTGGGGGTTCTGCCCCCCTAGCATGTACGGGGGGGGGGAATCGAGGCCACCCCGCCCAACACAAGCGCTAGCATTATCTGGGGGCGTCCCGGGTAACGAGCGTTCTGCGGGGGGGGGGAGGAACAAAAACGCTCTAAGAGAACCACAAGAGCCTTGCCAGGAGGGCCCCGAGAAAGCAAAATCATGGATTCGCCATTGGTTTTTCCGTGATTCGGGGGTCTTCGACTTTTCGAGCTCCCGACGCTGCAAAGGCGGCCCAGGAGGCCCCCAGGCCCGCCCCAAGAGGCCCCCGGGAGGGCCCCAACATGGATCGAGAGCGCTCCAAGACGGCCCCAGATGCGGCCACGACGGCCCAAGAGGGCCCAAAGACAGCCCCAAGAAGGGCCTACGAGGGGGAACGCGGACCGAACATCGGAGCCTTCCGCAAGGAGGCCCCGAGACGGCCCCCAAGGGGCCGCCCTCAAACGGCCCCCGAGAGGCCCCCCGAGAGGCCCCCCGCGACATCCCAACGAAGACCCTAGAGGCCTATGACGAACAACTTGCCATCGCTCGGACGTCCATTCCCTGTTTTCTTTTCGGTTTCGTGCGTGTTTTTTCGCCGAATGATCAGGGATGATCCTAATTATATGGTCCTCGCCGAAGGAAAAATGCACACGTCCGAGCGATGCCAAGACAACCCAGACACGGTGGCGGGATGGGCCGAAGGCCATGCGATAAGGAAAAGTTCTTTCAAAGGCCTCTGACCTGGAGCCAAGGCAGAGCAGAGCCGGATCGGATCGCGAAATCGGATCGGGTCGGAAACGGACAGGATCGCCGGCGACTCGCCCAGAATTGGCATCGACATCGGATCGCCGCGCCTGGCTCGGGCTGGCCTCCGCCGGTGCCACGGAACCGGCACGCACCGCACCGCATCGGAAGCGCGGCCCTGGCCGGCGAATCGCATCGCATCGACTCGGACCGTGGGCGGCCCTGCAAGGCAGGGCAGCGGGATGGGCCGAAGGCCGCCGGATGGTGATCCCCGTCTCCTCGTCTCCAGCCTCGAGCGACCTGAAGGGGCCCTAGGACACACAAACAAATACACACAAAGAACAGGAGTGCACATATTTCCCAATATTTTCTGGGCTTCTGTCTTCCCCCCCACTTCCCATATCTTCCCATATTTTCGTGGGAATCGAAGATTATTTGTGTCGGTGTGTTTGTTTTCCCTCCTGACGACCGTTGGACGGGCGAAGCGCCGCGCCAGCGCGGCAGGAGCGACGGATGCAGGTTCAGGGTGCCCAGCCGGGGGGTCCTGAGGAACCTCTTGGGCAGGTAGTGCCCGTACGCCGCGGTGATGCACACGTCTGGGGCCAGCTCCTCTGAGTATCGTTGAACCGATCCCAGGCCCCCTCGCCTTGTGAAAAAATCACGACGGTAGGTTTTTCGCTATTTTCTGCCTCTGGGGGCCCTCACCGGGCCTCGGGACCGTCAGAAAACGACTCAGGACGAAAAACCGGTCCCGGGGAAGGGGTCCAGACCTCTGGGGGTAGCGTCGTGAGAAAATCTGCAGGTCCTCCCCCTCTTCCCCTCCTCAGCCTCCTCCTCCTCTCCTCCTCCTTCCCCCTCCTCCCTCCCTCTCCTCCTCTCCTCTCTCCTCCCCTCCTCCCTCCTCCTCCTCCCCCCCTCCCCTCCTCCTCCTCCTCCTCCTCCTGTCCTCCTCCTGGTCCTCCTCCACCCCTCCTCCTCCTCCTCCTCCTCCTCCTCCCCTCCTGGTCCTGGTCCTCCTGTCCTCCTGGTCCTCCTGGTCCTCCTGGTCCTCCTCCTCCTCCTCCATCCCCCCTCTCACTCCTCCTCCTCCTCTCCTCTCCTCCTCCTCCTCCTCCCTCCTCCCCTCCCTCCCTCCTCCTCCTCCTCCTCCTCTCCTCCTTCCTCCTCTCCTCCTCCTCCTCCTCCTGGTCCTCCTCGTCCTCTCCTCCTCCTCCTCCTCCTCCCTCTCCTCCTCCTCCTGCTCCCTCCTCTGCTCCTCCTCCTCCTCCTCCTCCTCTCCTCCTCCTCCCTCCTCCTCCTCCTCCTCCTCCTCCTCCTCCTCTCAGGCTGTTTAGTCCAATCCGCGCTGGCGCCGATTGTCTGTCGCAGCGAATCACGGCAGGAAACATGAGTGTCCTTGCCAGCCCACGCGTCCTTCAAGATGCATGACCTTCTTGCTTGCTTGCTTGCTTGTCGGGGGTCTGGGTCCCCCTCCCCAGCGGCGTGGCCTGGGCCCCACTGGCCGATCTACCCCCCTAGATGGGGGTATGGGCCGTTCCCTTCGGGTTTCGAGGGGCGTCTCCCCTAACTGGGGGAGGGGTAATTTAATGGGGTTCTCGAAGGGGATGGGGATGGGGATGAAAATGGGGGTCGGTTAAACGACGCTGATCCTCCAGGGCCTCCAAGAAGGGCTCGTACTTGGCGTTGCCAGGGGTCCAGACGTGCTCGATTCCGAGCTCCTCCGCCAGCTCGTGGACGGGCGTCTTCGTGGCTGGCTTATTGCGCACCTTGGGGCAGCCGCAGCTTGGACGCCGACTTTGGGGACCAGCCCCAACAGCCGCAGCTGTCCGATATTCGCAGCGGCGTTTCCTGGTATACAGCCCGTGCTGTCGAATGGGTGCGGCCTGATGTCGGACCTGCAGCTAACCCTGGCTCAACTGAGAAAGGGGCGGCGTCGCCGATCATCACTTGAGCTCTTTCTGATGTGACAGCCCATGCGCCGTCCTCAACCAACGAGCGAGGGCGCACCTGGAGCAACCCAGCGCAAAAAGGCGCGAGATGTCACGGTCCCGACAGCCCTGCGGGCGCCCACGAGTTCCCGCTCGCACGACGCCAGGGATGGAGAGGAAACAGCAAATCGCTCGCATGGCCCGCTCCGAACAAAAAAAACCTGGACCACCAAATATCCGATTCCGAAAAGCCTGTACCTGGCCGAGCTTCCGCCGGCCTCCGCCGGCGGAGGCGGCCTCGTTTCACTTCCGCCGGCCTTCCACCGCGGAAGGGATGGCAACTCCTTCGATCCTCGAGGGCACGGCCTCTTTTGGGATCGCCCCGTGTGGCCCGCTCCGAAGAAGAGAACAGGGACCCCGGAATGTTGATGGCTCACCTTCGCCGCGAGGCGGGGCTTCCCTCGCCACCACCGCCTGGGGGTGGGCCGCTCGCAGGAGAGGCCAGCAGTCGGGGTTGGCTCCTGCCTGCCTCTGAGCAGCCTGGGCGGGCCTGCGTTGCCAGAGGGTGGCTTGGGCTCGTGCCCTTGCCGCGGCGCTCCCAAGGGCCGCCTGGTCTCGTGTCCTTGCCGCGGCGTTCTCCAGGGTAGCTCGGTCTCGTCTCCTTACTGCGGCGCTGCCCAGGGTTGCTCGGTCTCGTTTCCTTACCGGGGCGTTCCCCAGGGCTGCTTGGTCTCGTTTCCTTCCTGTGACGCTCCCTGGTGTTGCTTGGTCGTACTTACTTACTGTGGCGTTCCCCGGAGTTGCTTGGTCTTGTGTCCTTCCTGTGCCAAGCACTGCTAAGCCACGCCAAACAAAGCCAAGTAACGGCAAGCAAAGCCAACCAACACCATGCAGTGCCAATCAACGCCAAGCAAAGTCAAGTACCGCCAAGAATTGCAAAGAAAGACCAAACAATGCCACGCAAGGAACAGCAACGCCAAGCAACGCCAAACAATGCCAAGCAATACCAAGCAATACCAAGCGACGCTAAGCAATGCCAAGCAATGCCAAGCAACGGCAAGCGAGCTATGCGGCCATGCATTAAGACGTTGTCCCTTAATTAGGGTCGCGCCGAGTTCATGTATGCGTTGCCCCCCTCCCCTCCGGGGCCTAAATATATCCATCGCCTGCTGAGGTCACCGAAGATCGATCCCCCAGACGGCAGCCATGAATACATCCACACGTCGGACTTACTCCCGCCGCCTTCCGAAGAACTTCCACCGGCGGAGCCGACGCCGCTTTACTTCCTAGAGTTAGGTCGGGCATGCCCTCCTACAGGCGGATTTTTTGGACGAAAACTAAAAAATTGTCACGAATATTCAAAAATAGCCAGCAATTGTAAAAAAATCGTCCTCAGACTATTTTGTTGACTATTTCTGCAGATTTCTCCTGTAGAGGGACATGCGCGACTTAATCCTAGAGGAACGAAGCACAGCATAAACAGAACTTCTCCGAGGTCCGCGCGTACTTCTTGGATCTGCGCTGGACCCCCCGCCCTGGCGCCCTGAGCGCGCTAGGCCGGCGCCGCCAGGGGGGGGAGGGGGGGGCCCAGCGCCGATCCAAGAACTTCGCGCGGACCTCCGAGAAATTATGTTTATGCAATTTGTTGTTCTACCCGGCGGGCGTAGGCCTGCCACACAACGGCGGCCGCCACAACACCCTTCTGAGAAGCGAACCCCCTCTTGGGGTATGATGGCTTCCCTTTCCCGCTATTTCGCTGCATGCCGCCCGTCCCTGATCAGGGCAGCTCGCCTGGGCATCGTTTCTGGATGGGCTGGTGGGGCTACGCGACGCGTCTGACATAACAGCACACCGATGCCGCCACTCCCCAGACCCAGACCCCCGACGTCGTGATTTTGTTCGCAACGTCGACCCCCCCACGGTCTGGACCCCTTCCCCGGGACCGGCTTTTCATCCCGAACCGTTTTTCGACGGCCCCGAGGCCCGGCGAGGGCCCCCGGAGGCCGAAAATGGCGACAAACCTACCGTCGTGTTTTTTTCACAGCGCGAGGGGGCATGGGATCGGTTCAACGATACTCAGAGCTGGCCCCAGACGTGTGCATCACCGCGGCGTACGGGCACTACCTGCCCTCCCCTCGTGCTTTTTTCACAGCGCGAGGGGGTCTGGGGACCCCTCCCCACGGGGCGCCTCCCGACCAGAACTCCGAGGCGAACCCAGCCGTGGCGACGCGGGCAGGGCCGCGGCGCCCCCATATCTCTCCCCCCTGGCTTTCGGCTCTCGGCTCCGCTTCCTGGCGGCCGCTCAGGACGACTCGGGCACCGCCCCAGGAGTGTTCTCGGCAGGGCGCCGCTGCTGAAAAGCGCCCCGAGGCCGGGAAAGCGCCGAGGACCGACGAAAGAACGCCCGGACGCCTCGAGCCCCGCCTGTCTTTGCTCCGAGGGGGGGAAGAGGCAGAGGAGGAGGAGGAGGAGGAGGAGGAGGAGGAGGAGGAGGAGGAGGAGGAGGAGGAGGAGGAGGAGGAGGAGGAGGAGGAGGAGGGGGAGAAGGAGGAGGGGGAGAAGGAGGAGGGGGAGGGGGAGGGGGAGGAGGAGGAGGAGGAGGAGGAGGAGGAGGAGGAGGAGGAGGAGGAGGAGGAAGAGAAGGAGCTGGCCCTTCCCTATGCGAGACCAGACGAAAACTTCGAAAACGCCACTCGGTCGGAGCACCCGCTTGGGCGGCTGCGAGACCACCGCGCAGAGGTCGAAGGGCACGGGCGCGGACGCGGCGCCCTCCGCCTGGGCACCGTTCAAAAGACCCCTATCCCCACCGGCGTCGCCTGGGCCCCACTGGCAGATTTACCCCCCACGATGGGGATATACACCCCAGCTCGGACTTCAGACGATATTACGGTAAGAAAATCGACTCCACTCCAAGCAATTTCTTAAAAAGTGCTCCAGGTCCAAGAAAACGCCCAGGGTCCTATCCAGAATATTGATCTTCTCGAGCGAAATTTGGAGTCCTCGAAAAATAATACTTGTTCTCAAGATTTCTGATGGGTGTAGGCTGTTCCCTTCGGGTTTCTGGGGGCATGTCTCCAACTGGGGTGGTGGGATGGTTGGGATAGAGATGGGGATACAGCCAAGCTGTTGCCAGCCGGAACGCGAAATAAGGAACGCAGCCCCTTTTTGGCACCAGAAGCGCCTGGGTGCACGAGGAGGGCAAAAAGAATAATCGCATGATTACCTTTAAGGAACATAGGGCCCCTTTCGAACCCAAAGCGGTCCTTATTTCAACGTCTTGGCTGTAAGGATCGGTTATTGAACAGAAACCGACGGCCCCGGCATTCCTTTAGGACTACCAAAATATTCCCAACACCGAAACATTATCATAACCAAAATAACGTATTGGTTAGAACACTTTTTAAAGTGTTCGAACACACACAAAACAATGTTCTTAGAACATGAGCCCGATGAGTTTAAACATTTCAGCCTCAACCAGACATGTTCTGAGAACATCTCGTGCAAACCACGAAAGGCTCTTAGAGTCAAGCTAGGACGCTTCGCCACTGCTCGAGGTCGGACGATACCCATGCTATGCCGTTTTTTTTTTCTTTCCAATGCTGGGTCCCTGGAAGTCCCGACCCTTCCCCTGGTCCCGACCCTTCCCCTGGGACCCGCTTTTCATCCTGAGGAATTCTGACGGTCCCGAGGCAAGGCAAGGGCTCCCAATGGGCCGGAAACGCTCGAAAACCTCCCGTCCTGCTTTACTTACGACGCGATCACGTCTGGGCTGGCCGTAGGCCCTGAGATCCGACGTAGCGAAAAAATGCAACATTGTAAAAGATCACGCCCAGAGCCCTGGACCCCATCTTTCTGTGTCATTTTTCGAGCCGGATCGATCTGTGAGGGTCCCGGGGCCCGAAAGAAGGCGGAAAGGCCCGGCTCGAGAAAACTGAGACGCCAGGGTCGCAGGGGGGATCGGTTGGACGATGCCGAGCGCCAGCGCCCGCAGCACCACGCAGACGCACTCCGGGGAGCCCAGGAAGACCTGAGGGGCAACGATAAAGGGGGGACTGGGACAGGGGGGGATGCATCGACCTTGAATCGGCGATGCATCGCCGATCGATCGGCGATGGGACCCCGCTAATGAATCCGCACCTTCCTGGGCAAGTTGGGGCCATCGGGCCCTTATCGGCGATCCATGGGCGATTGGGGGTCGATGCGTCCCCCCTGTGCCTATCCCCCCCTATCGTTGCCCATGAAATGAGCAGGGACCGACCGTCCCGGCATTCCTATAGGCCTACCACAACATGTTCTGAGAACCCGGAAATGTTCTAAGAACCAGAACACTGTTCTTAGAACATGAACCCGAGGTGTCAAAACGAGAGCGTCCCAGCCAGACATGTTCCGAGAACATGTCGTGGGAGCCACGAAAGGCTCTTAGAACATTGCTTGGTAGGCCTCTATAGAGGCCTCCTAGATGCGGTCCGAGTAGATGGGGTCGGAGGATCACGCCGCATCGCCGATACATCGGCGATGCATCGGCGAAGCACTGGCGAAGCACTGGCGATGCATCGTCGACGTGGGCGATGCATCGGCGACGCCAGCGTGGGGAAACACGGGCTCCGCATCGCGCCGCAGCGCCGATGCATCGGCGATGCGGCGCGATATTCCGATCCTATCTGCTCCGACCCCATCTAGGAGGCCTAGACTCTACAATGGGGGCTCGGCCACAAGAAACCTCCGCAAGAAACCCAACCCTGAGATCCGCGATTTGTTCAGTGAAAGTCCACATGTGTCGAGCGAAGATCGTCAAGATCTGATTGGGAGCCCACCGAAATCCAAGAAACCCAGGGCACCCTGGCAAAATCCAGCTGGTTTCTTGGCACGCGCCCCCACTGTAGGCGAGCCAGGGCGCTTCGCAACTGCTCGCGCGAGGACCACCCTCGGCAGCCCGCCGCCGCGCGCCGGCCCGTCCGCCGGCGCGGCCGCCGCCCGCGGGGCCCCAGCGCCCAGCAGGAGGTCCTGCGGCTCTCGGGGGGCTCTTCTGCGCGGCGGCGCCGCCTGGGCAGGTCGGCCCAGACACGATCGCGTCGTTTTGTGTTTTTCTAGGGGCTGTTCTCATTCAATGTTTTTTTTTCTGTCTTTTGGCGATAAGAAGCGCGCGTCGTAGAGCAGAACTCGCGACGGGAAGCGCGCGGCCCTTCTCGGCCTCCGGGGGCCCTCGCCGGGCCTCGGGGCCGCCAGAGAGCGCCCCAGGACGAAGCACGGGTCCCGGGGAGGGGGTCGGGACTTCCGGGGGCCGCGTGCGGAAGGAATCCGAGCGTCGCGCGTCGGGGCCCTGACTCCGGATCCGCCCTACTTTGGCTTTTTCCCCAACTTAAAATTGCGTCGGAAATCCACCTATACGAGGCCGAAAAAGTAGGGCGGAAATTCACGCACCCAACATAAAGTGGGGCGGAAATCCAAAGAAGTAGGGCGGAAACAGCAACAAAAAGGTAGGGCGGAAATTGGCATCAACGGGGCTTGAAAACCAAGGCGGAAATTCCAAGCCCTACTTACGGACTGTCCCAAAGTAGGGCGGATCCGGAGTCAGGGAGGGGGGCGCGCGAGGGGAGAGGCCCCCAGGTCCTGGCGCTGCGATCTGTTCGCCACGGGCGTTCGGGCCCGGCTGCGGGCCCCAGGACTCTCTCGGATCGCCGCGGCTCGAGGAACGGCGCAGAAGCATGGTGTCTATAGGGCTCCAGTCGTGATTTTTCGCGATGCCGATTCTTTTTGGCAACGTCGGATCTGAAAGGAGGCAGGGGCAGATCGAGGGGGAGGGCAAATCGTAGAGGCCAACCATACGCCACCCGTAGGTCTACTGTGCCGTGATGAGAGAGTGCCCCATTTTGACGGGTCAACAGATGTGCATCCATCCGAGCGCACGTCGCTAGTCGCCCCGTTGGGGACGTGTCGGGGGGAGACAACTCCACCCTTCCTGGGGGGACATAATGCTGTCACCCACCACCCAAACACGGACATTTAGGAGCCAAACCGCCCGTCAGGGTTACTATTTGCTTGTGTCGCTTGTTCGGCCCTGGTTCCTATTGGAACCCATCAGTTTTGAATCCATTCTCCGGCTTCCGGTTTCTTGCCAAGTAGTTTGTTTTGTTTGACCCTGGCTCCGAGGCCCAATCCAGCATTAAATGCTAGACCTTCTAACAATAAATGCGCGTGTGGTCGCAACAGTCTCGAATGTTATCGCAAATCCAATGCAAATCCGTCCACTTCGTCCTCGCTGCAATTTTGGGGGCAAGTTGGGGGAAGGAGGGGTGGAAGGATGAGGGAGGAGCTTGCATCGATCAACTTTCAGGGTTTATTGACATTGTTGTGCTCTGCGAACTTGAGCTGCTTGTCAGCAGTGGCGTTCACTGGCAATGTGGCGTTCACAAGCGACGGGGTGCTCACACTCAATGGTGCTTAGGCGTTGCTGGACTCGGGTGGTGTTGATCCGGCTCCGAGGCCCAATCCAGCAGTCAAGACATGGCCTTTGAGCAATAAGTGCGCGCGTGGTCGCAACAGTCTTGATTATGATTCTCATCGCAAATCCAATACGAAATTATCCAGTTTGTCCTCGCTGCAACATTTGGGACATGTTGGAGGGAGGAGGGGTGGGAGGATGAGGGTGGAACTTGTATCGATCAACTTTCAGGGCTTCTCCATGTTGCTGTGCTCTGCGTGCCTGGTGTTCATTGGCAAGGTCCCGGCAGTGCGTTCAGAGTCACATTGGTGCTGAGGCGTTGTTGGACTCAGGCAGTATTGATCCAGCTCAGGCCGAATTCAAGAGGTAAACGACTCTCTTGGAAGAAATGCGCGTGCGGTCGCAACAGTCTCGGTTCCCAGCGCAAATCCAATAAAATTCGTCCAGTGTGTGCTCTCTTCAACTTTTGGGCCAAGTTGGAGGGAGTAGGGGTGGAAGGATAAGGGAGGAGCTTGGCGATGTTGTGTCCGCAGTCATCTGGATGCGCTCACTGTCACTGTGGTGCTCAGGCGCTGCTGGGCCCAAGTAGCACTGATTGTATTTCGTTGAAGCCAGCTCCACATCACAACGACACCGATGGAAGCATCCCTTCATGCCACAACAGCGCTTGGATGCATCGTAGCCATTACTTCGGCTACGCCAAAAAAGGGCAACATTCTAATCACGCCCATGTGCCATAGACCTGTGACAGGCCCGCTGTGTACCTTTCCATAGCCTACAATAGGCATAGCATAGACATCCCTTCAGCTTACCAAAGGTCTGTGGTAGACCTAGAAATTGCCTATAGGTATACCTACAATAAGCCTGTGAATCGCCGATGCAGAAGTCTATAGAGACCTATCGCAGGTTTCGCGTAGGCTATGACCGGGATCCTTGATTGGCAGATCGAGGATGGGGGAGGGGGGACGGGCCAGATCGAGGGGGGAGGGGGGCAGATCGAGGAGAGAGGGAAGAGAGGGAGGTGGACGAAGGACGAGATGGAAACGGACGGAGGACGCAGGACGCGCCAGTCTGCCGGCCAGCCGGCCCCTCAGGAGCGGCGCAGGTGGACTGGATCCCTCTCATCTCTCGCCCGGCCCCTTCGAAGCCAGTCTCTAGTCCCTCCCAGGAACCGTTCTTCGTCGCATAGTGTAACGACTTATCCAGGAGGAGGAGGAGGCGGAGGAGGAGGAGCGCGGGAAGGACGAGAGCAAAAGTGTGAGCAGGGAGAGGAGGAAGGGGAGGACAACGAAGGCAAGGACGAGGAGGAAAAGGAGCAGTTGGAGGCAGGGGTGGATTGGATGTGAAGGATGGCTGCCATGAGGGAAAACGGACAAGAGAAAGGGATATGTATAAATGGGATGAGGGGGATGCTCACGAGGACGAGGAAGGAGGACGAATGAGGGGGAGGAGTTGGATGATGCTGCTGATGATGATAACGGTGATGATGCTGATGCCGATAATTATGATAATGATGGTGATGATGATAATGATGATGATGATGATGATGATGATGATGATGATGATGATGATGATGATGGCGATGATGATGATGGTGGTGATGATGATGAACCTTACCCAGTCCCCCGACGTGTGGCCAGACGAATTACAACAACCTGATGTGACACATCTTTTCACCTCACCTCAGAGCTAATCTCTTCGACGGGTGCAGCGGATGACTTCACAAACAGTCTCGCGGAACTCGTTCGTCCCCTGTTGAATTCGCAAACTTTGGCGAATCCCCGCCGAGCGGGGTGGGAGGGGAGGGAGCTTGAGCGGATTTTGGGCGGAGCCAAAAAGGGTCACAAACGGACGGGTTCGGCAAGGGGTTCTGAAAACAGATATAGCCTTACCCACTCCCCCGACGTGTGGCCAGACGAATTACAACAACCTGATGTGACATATCTTCTTTTCACCTCAGAGCTTATCTTTTCGACGGGTGCAGCGGATGACTTCACAAACAGTCTCGCAGAACTCGTTCGTCCCCAAAACTGCCCGAATTGACCTCTGGCCCATGTCGGCAAACCAGACGGGAATAATTATGAACTTGGATCCGATCCGCACCCCGTCTCAAGGCGTTAGCTAGGAGACCAGACAAGCTGGGCCCGAAAAGCGAGAACGGCGAGCCCACGGCATTACGAGGCCTCGACTTCTCCCTAGGACCCAGGTCGGCCCGACGGAGCCCGTTCGACACGGGACCAGAAAAACGCGAAACAACCAGGAGGCTTTCCCGAGGGGAGCCGCGACCGAAGCTGTCAGGCGCGATTTCGGCCGACCACGTCCCCCTCTTGGTTTTCAGGTCGGTCAAACATTCAAGCAAGTATTCTACAATACGCGTACAGGGGCACACGTTGAGCGTAGGGACCCCTATGCTTACAGCGGCATTGGCAATCTTTAACATGCTATAAATACACTGGTTGACATTAGCGTGCACAGCATATCTACCATCTCCCTTGCGAAACTCGACAGCGCGCGGAAGCGCCGCACTAATGCCACGGACCAGACGGGCCCCCAGCCACCCAATGAGCATTCTTTTCGCAACGCGGAGATCGCACAGGGAGGCATCCACCCACAACGCGGAGTGACCACCTCGCCCACACAGCTGCTGATTCACTTCACCTTTCGAGAACCAGATCTCTAGGAAGACCTGACCCCTTTTTTCGAGCTCTCGAAGCGGAGGCCGTGGCGTAGCTGGCGCGCAAGCCCGCCAGCACCGCCGGCTGCATGAAGGCGGGGGCCTCGAGCGACTCCGTGCCGTCCAGCAGAGGCCCGAGCCTGGCCATCACCTTGTCGGACCACTCCGTCACCGCGAGCGGCGCCTGGTCCAGCGGCGACAGGTAGCGGACGTGCTTGGCGTAGCGCAAGCTGATGTGCGGGTTGGCGCGTCTGAGCCGCTCGCCGATACCCGCGAGAGGTAATCCCTGGAGCGCCGCCGCGTGGCTTGCGCCACCGTGGCGAACCTGATAGGGCACTGCCGACGGCGCCCCAGGGATCGCAGCCAGCCTCTCCTCGAACCGCCGCGTGAACGTCGGGCCGTCGAACGACCGCAGCGGGCAATTGGGGCCCCGCGCGCTCCGAACTCGCCGAAGTGCGCTGCCGCCGCCCTGGCGCCAGGCTGGCTCCAGCAAGATGACCCCCTCGTCGGCGCCCATGATCTTGCTCCTCGCTTCCTCGCCGCTCAGGCGCAGAAGCAAGGCCCATCTTGGCGTCTTGCCGCGACCAGGCCCGATCAGGGATTTGGTGGTCAAGCTGACCAAGTCCGACGGCAGCCGCAGCATGCCGCCCCACGCCAGCCACAGCGCCGCCGCAAACCCGAGGTCCTTCAGCAGCAGGCTCACCCCGACCAGAGCAATCACCCACGGTCGGCACAGCGGCTCCCTCGAGGTGCCGTGGGCCCGCCTGCGGAAGCCCGCCATTGCGGCCCGCGCCACGGGGATGTTGCCGTGCTTGGCTGTGCCCAAGCTGGGCCTCAGGTGCTGCAAGGCCGCCAACAGCCTCGACCCCTCGCCGACCTCCATCCCGCCGAAGAACAGGACGTCCAGGTACTTCGCGGCCAGCTGGTCCAGGCGCGTGACGGCGATCTCCTCCAGCGAGCCCTCGTTGGCCCACTCCAGGAAGTTCCGCGCGCGTTCCCTGAAAGCGGTGCGTGTGGGCGGCTTCACCTTGTTGGTCTGCAAGAAGCTTAATCCAGGCTCGACGTCGCTCCGCATGTGGGCGCAGCGGTCGAACCTCGCGACTGCCCGCTGTCGCCTCAAGACCTCTGATCTCACCACCTTCCGCCCAGAGCGCACCGCTGCCGTCACTGTCGGAGCTGGAGCTGCTGGGGCTGTTGCCGTCGTCGTCGGCCCTGCCGAGGCATCCCACCGCGTCCGACGTGACAGCATGCGGCTCGGCGGTGCCCTGGCCAGAGTGGTCGCGCCCTGGCTGATCGCGCTGCTCGACATCCCCGAGGAAGCGCTCATGCTCGACGATGTCCCGCTGGACTGCGGTCTCGCCGAGGGCTCTGGGCCACGCCGCCTCAGCACTGGCCCGCGCCGCGTCGCCTGCATGGCGCCCGTCAGACTCGTGAGAAACAGGCTGACGGCCGATCGTGCGGCTACCCTTGTCGGACGGCTACAGATAATGCCGTCAAGATGCTCAGAGCGGCCATCTCCCTGCATGTCTGATTTAGCACGCAATGAGACGACCGTCCCCTTTCCAAGGCCAGGGCCAGGCTCATGTTATCGCACAGGGACAAAATCACACATGCAAGCGAGGCTGTACTTCGCAACCGATGCCGAACACCTGCAATCAGAGCTCGGCCCTCGAGGCGCATGATGTCCTCAGGGCGGCTCCAGCGTCCGAAGAGCTTCAGCCGCCAAGACGACAGATGGAACAAAAAGCTCGGGTCGATCTCGCTGAAGAAACTGCTGCCCAGGTGCACCCCCGCCTCGGTGGGGGGCGAGGCGACCGCCTCGCAGGGCTCGGACCCACAGATGCCAAATTGGCTGGGTGACGAAAGCCCGCGAAGAGCCGGGCCCAGCGCGTGGCGCCGAGCCTGCGCCGCACCCTCGGCCTGGCATCGCCAGCGCACCATGCAGGCGGCGGCTGATCAGACGGCGTCGGAGGTCCACGGCTTCTCCGTGACCGCGACCCCGCGAACCTGCTGCCGTCGGCCTCCCCAGATCCTGTGGAGGCGTCCGTGGCCAACACCACGGGGTCGATCTGCAGCTTGGTATCCACGCACGCGAACGCAATCAGGCTCGCTGCCACCCGGCACTCGGCGATCACCTCAGGCCACATTCGCCACCGACGGGAGCCCGCCAGCCGAGCAAAGCGGTGAGCACTGTGAAAGACCGACAGGAGACAGCGTCGTAAGATGGCCGCCCACGTGTAGTGCCCCAGCAACGAGAGCATGCCGTCGCCGCCGCAGACACCACGCTCGGCGACCTCCAGGAGCGCCAGCCTCAGCCGCCAGATCCGTCCGCTGCTGACCGAGATGCGCCCCGTGCCGTAGTCGAAGACCAGGCCCTGAACTTCTGAGCCCCCCGATCTGCGACCACGCCCTTGCACTTCAGCTGGCAGCTCTCCAGTTGCTGGTGCACGCGATCGGCGGCGCCCTTCACGGCGGACTCATCGCAGCCCACCGCAGCCACACCGTCGACATACACCGCCACCCCCGCCTGAGACGTCACGTCGGGCACCGCGCGCTTGTCCTGGATGGCCCTCTCCTAAGGGATGCCTGCGGCAAGGGCCTGAGAAACCGCGAGCGCCTGGCAGAAGTGCAGACGCCAGCATCAGCCCATCGGCAATGCCGTTAGCAATGGCGATACTTTGCTTGTCGTGACATCTTGCAAACTATTCTCAGGGCAGAACTGCGCCAGCACATCGGCAGAAATCATTGGCAGTGCGAATATCTCGTCGAGCCCAGGCGGCGACTTGATGCGGTAGAAGGCCGCCTCGATGATCACCTGGCCAAGCGAAAGGTTTTCTGACGCGGGTATCTTCGGCCCGCGCCAGACTCCAGCAGAAGGTAAGGCCGTGGTGCCTGGGTCCACGAATTCCTTGTTGACTGCGCGCGTGTCGAGGATGCAGCGCAACTGGTTGCCTGACTTCTCGACGAAGAACAAGCCCACGGCCGCATGTCTAGGCGCAGCAAACCGAACCATACCTGCATAATGTATTTCGCTCGAGAAGCGGGCGTAGTGGCGAGGGGGCCGCCGCAGCTTCTCATCGAAGTAGGGAACGACAAGCTCGTGATCCTGCTCGGGACCTCGTAGCAAGCGCTGACGCCACTCGTGCCACAACTCTCGTGCATGCCCAGTCAGCGACTCTGAGGCGTCACACTTCAAGGCGTCGCTGGGCAGGCTCACAAGACCTTCGGCGTCCACGACTGACTTCACAGGACTGCAATCGCAGCCAGGGGTACTGCGGCTCAGCTCCGAAAAGGGCCGCCACCGCGGTGCAAGGGGGCCCACCGAGGGCCTGAATTCGCCCGCTCATCTGACGGATGCCCAGGCTCTGCCCAAGAGAGAGAGAGAGAGAGAGAGAGAGAGAGAGAGAAAGAAAAAAAGAAAGAAAGAGCGCTGAACTCACTGGAGACGTCGCGGCCAAACAACCAATTCAAGCTGTGAACAGCCTCTGCCGCCCAGCGTGAAGTATAGAAACGTTGACGAGCTTTGCTACGACGACGGCGGGTGGACGAGTGAAAGCCGCCGAAATCCTCTTCCACCCACAAGGCCGCGGGTGCGGGAAACAGCTCCCGCGGCACAGCCATGCTCCGAGGGCTACTTGCCACCCGCGGCCGCCTGGGCCGTTGAGTTGGCTGCGTCTCCACCTTTCCCCTTCCCCTTCGGATCGACCGTCGCCAACCTCTCCTTCAAGGACGTGTTCTCTGCCGCCAGCTTGCCGGCACGACTCTGCAACTGAGGGTCGTCGCCACCACCGCCGCCACCCCCGCCTCCACCGCCGCCGCGACGAGCCGCATGCCTCTCCTCTCGAACCTTGCCTCTCTTTCAAGACGCTGGCTTCCTTGTGCAACTCGTCGGCGACGTAAGTGGAGAGCGCTGGGCTTATCATCATCAACCCTCGAGTCTCAGACGTGTCCAGGTAGATGTGCTCGTCTTCTGCCAAGTCGTCCGCCGCCGAGCCCATGCGGTTGAGATGCCTGTCCCGATACTTATACTCTATCATCTGTGCTTTTCTGCATATCGCTTCGGATATGGCTAACTCCGATACGCTTAACTGGTCAAACTGGATTCCGATCTGTAACAAACGCAAGCAGAAGTCGTGAAAGTCCATTCCAGGATCTGCAGCTGTCAGGCCCGCTTCCGCTTTGAAGCGTGCGTGCCTCGACCGAGGCGCCACGTCCTGGTCCCTGATGAACCTGCACACCCAGCCAGCGGTCCGAGGACCGAACAGAGGCCATGATGGCCAGGTCGTCTCCGTCAGCTGCTTCACTCCCTCGCGGAACCAAAAGTGACGCCCATCGCCGCTGGTCTCTGTCAAGGCCAGCGCGCGGGCGTCGAGCGCCGTGTCGGAGCTGCCGTACTGCACGACGTACGACACGGTGCCTACGCGCACGAAGCCAAGGCCCCCCCCGATGATGCCCGCATCCACGGCGAGGCTCGGCAACTTGGCCGCGCTGGACTGGCCGCTGGCCGAAATCATATATCATCCTTTCCCGTCTGGTTCTGGTAACGTCGTGACGTTCCCCCCCTTGCGGCATCTGGGCTGAACTCGAACCCGAGCCCGCCGCCGCCACCGATGTCGTCCCTCGGAGCCTCGCGAACACCTCGTCGGAGGATGCCCCCGACGCGAACACGAGCTCCGACGGCTCGGGTATCCAATCCTCGCCGTACGTCCGCGCGTTGGCGGCTGGGCCCGTGCCAACCAGTGACGCGCGGTCCCTCCGCCCGCGGTGGATCTTCACGGCGCCTCTGATCACGCCGGTGTGGATCACGTGCGGGTGCATGTCGCCGTCGGGGGTGAGCATGAACAGGATATCCTTCCTCGCCTCCGCTCCTGCTGGAGGAGCTTCCCCAATCACGTCCTTGTAGTCCTGCTCGGTCGCGATCCCCACGACGACGCGTGCCTGCCACGCGCCTCCCTGCCGAAACTGGATCTCCACGCGATCCCCGATGTCCCACCTCGCGGCGGCAGCAGCAGCAGCAGCCATCACTCGTGCCGATGAAATAAGCCAGCAGGATGCCCGCAATCAAGATGGCACCCGCAGCAATGCGCGCACCACCGAACACCTGGATGGCAAAGGCGCAGTTGCTCGCCTCGCCGATCACCTCGCTGTTCAGGAAGCGATCCGCCGCCCACGCTGCAAGGCCAATCCCGCTCTGAACGAAAACTGACATGGGCCGCGGTAGGTTAGTTAATTAGCTTGAGCGGATTTTGGACGGAGCAAAAAAGGGCCACAAACGGACGGGTCAGGCAAGTGGTTCCGAGAACAGATATATGAGGAGGAGGAGGAGGAGGAGGAGGAGGAGGAGGAGGAGGAGGCTGATGCTGATGCTGATGCTGCTGATGATGATGATGAGGAGGAGGAGGTGGAGGAGGAGGATGTGAAGCTGGAGGAGGAGGAGGAGAAGGAGGAGGGGGAGGAGTGGGAGGAGGAGGAGGAGGAGGAGGAGGAGGAGGAGGAGGAGGAGGAGGAGGAGGGGGAGGAGGAGAAGGAGGAGGAGGAACACAGACACCGCCGACGACGACAACGGCGGCGGAGAGGAGGAGGCGGAGGAGCGACGTGGAGAGGACACCTTCCCGCCCGACCCTCCCCCCACCGGCGGCGGTTCAAAGATGGGGCCCTGAGGGACAGGGCCCTGACGTTTTTGAGGGCACGAACGGGGGATCCCGAGCTGAACCTCCCCTGTTGAAGGACACCCCTCCTCCCCCCCGTCCCCCTCCCCCTCCCCCTCCTCTTCCTCCTCCTCCTCCTCCTCCTCGTCCTCCTCTTCCTCCTCCTCCTCCTCCTCCTCCTCCTCCTCCTCGTCTGAGGGGGGACGTCAAAGGGGGACTGGCTCAGGAGGGGGGAAACATCAAGCTGGAATCGGCGAGACATCGCGCATATGTCAGAGATAGGTCCTCGATAGCGATACCGCACTCTCCTGGGCGGGGTGGATTATCACGCCCCTATCGACGATGGGCGATTGGGGGTCGATGCGTTCCCCCTGAGCCTATCACCTCTAACGTTGCACCTGATCGTCCCGAGGGCCTCATCCCTCGGGACCCTATCTCTAGACCGCCGACTGTCACTAGGCCACTTGTCCCTAGGGCCTATCCCTCAGGGGGGTACGGAGAAGTACCATACCGATACTCCCCGAACCTCTCCAGCGGCGCGTTCGGACCAGCATCTCGAGGCGAGTCCAGCCGCTGCGACGAAGGAAGGGTCGCGGCACAGCTACCTCTCCCCCTGGCTCTCGGGTCATCACTCGGCTCTCCGGCGGCCGCTGGGGACGATTTTGGGGGCCCCGCGGAACGCTCTCGGCGAGGCGCAGCTGCTGGAGAGCATCCCGAGGCTGGAAAACTGGCGAGATCCGACCAAAACGCACGAAAACGCACCTCGTCCCTGGGGCCCCATCCCCCCGTGCCCCATCTCTGAACTGCCGACCCCAGTCCCTCAGGGCAGGGCAGGACCCCGACCCCACAAGTCCCGACCCCTTCCCCAGGGACTTGTTTCGCTCTGGATCCATTTTCGATGGCATCGGGGCCCGATGACGGGCCCCCGAGGGGTCGGATCTAGGAAAGCCGCCGATTGAACACATCGTAGCATCGCATATCTGTCAGACGCAGGAGGACATGCTAGTACTATCTGTCCTCCTTGGCGGCGTACGTCCGACCCGAACATCTCGTACACAATCGTGTAGGAGATCGTTTCCCAAGCGGTATGGCCAGGACGCGCCCGCCACGGAGCTAAGCCTTCCGAGCGTGCGCGTCGCCATTGCGTGGCCGACGCGCACACTGTATAGGCAGGTCTCGGTGGTACCGAATGTAGACTTCTGTTCTTCGGCCACGAGCAACAGTGACCCCAGGCAACAATGACCTCCAGTGCGCGGCCAGGGGGGGGGGGCCGTTGGGGACAACGCCCTGCGC